CATTATTGTATCTGGATCGATATCCAAGCGAGCAAAACGAGTAATCTCTTCATTAGTCAAACTATCGGGGTCGGTTTTATTAATACCTAAACGTTGCAGGCGCCGGAATTGTATTTTAGAAAACTTTCTTTCACCCTTAATTTTCGGTACTAAACGCTCGTATAAAGGCTTATCCTCTTGTGTACTCTCGTGGAATATGCGTGTATCCAATTGAGCGGCCAAGAGATTGTTCGCGGCTGTAACAGCCTGTATATCACCGGTTAAATGCAGATTAAAATCTTCCATAGGTATAACCTGCAGAATATAAATAATATAATATGTGAGATGTTGTATATAATATGTAGGATAAAAGATACAAAATATGATTTAAGTTATAACGAAGACGAGTGGCAGTGGAGATACGTATATGGACGTATCTCCCATCTCCAATGTAAAATCTCTCTTTTTCTTTGGGTTTTAGGGTGAAAGCTTAGTCCTACCATATACGACGATTCACGGAATTTTCCGCTCTCCAAGGACGACGAGGTGTCGATTGCCAGAGCCCCCCCTCCCCCTTCCCCCATTCCGCATCTATTTAAAGCCTTTCTTTTTCTTTGACTCCGGCATCCGTTTCAATGGAAATTCATACCGAGCAAGCAAACAAACTCTTTGTGGTTTGCGCTGGCCACAGCCACCACATCAGACAACAGTAATGAAAGAAACCTACCCCACGGTTTTTTGATTCCAATCTTATATAAATAATAATAATGAATATACCTGGGCGTAACCGCCACCAGCAGCGCCACCTTTAATTCCAAAAGTGGGACCCTGAGAAGGTTGACGCAAACAAGCCATGGCATTACGGTGAAGATGAGCACCTAAAGCTTGCACTAAACCTATTAGAGTAGTGCTCTTACCCTCGCCCAAGGGAGTCGGAGTAATACTAGTAATAGGATAAAATTTTTACGATTAGCACATATTATCTTATTTTTCAAAGTACTTACCCGCATACTACAACATAAGAACCGTTACCTCTCGGCCTTAATCGGTCGATGGCACTTAGAGAAATTTTTGCCTTTTTATTACCATACTGTGATACCTCATTACCTATCAAACCAATTTCTTGTGCTAAAAGTGAGATATCCTTTGGAGTTTGAGAACGGGCTATAACGATATCACTAGGTACAGGCTTGATAAGTTTTAAAGTCAAAGGAGCTAAATCCCATGCTTTTTGTAAGAGATTTTCAGCAGCAGTGAAAGCCGATCGTACGGTGTTTTGCATAAGCATAGCCACTGTCATTGGTCCAACTCCTCCAGGCACGGGCGTAATCGCTGATGCTACAACTTTAGCTTCTTCAAAATCAACGT